GGTCTTTTTCTTCTCCTTCATATTGTGTCGTTGACAATAAAGAATCCACAGTATTCTAATAAAAATGTAAAGTAACCACACAATACTTTAAATACACATGATTATCACTCAGTTGAAGTAACCATCTCTCTCTCTCATCAGACACATCAGTATTCAGGACACAGACACAAATGAGATGTGGGTCAGGAGGATGTGGGCCACTTATTGTCCCGCCCACCTATTAGCAGGTTAAACTGACACGCTAACAACCAATCAAATGGCGCATCCCGGCCTCTAAGTCCCGCCTCTGTCACATCATTGTCCCGTGGACGCGTCAGTCAAAACAATAAGCCGTGGCTCTTAATGGACCTGAACTGATTGTTGGACTGTGACGCGAAATAAAACACATCAGATGATCGATCGATGATCGATAGATTCCGGATGTTCGAAAGCGAACCTCACATCAAAGGACAGAGAGAGAACATCAAAGAGATGAGCTGATAACAGATGAGAGAGCTCACCGATCCTCTGTCCCACCGCGGAGCTGAACGGGTTCCCCAGGAGAAACTCCATCATGAGGCCGCCGAGGGCCGAGCCGCGTCCCCGGGCCGAGCCGTGCCGTGCCGTGCCGAGCCCAACAACAAGCCGCGCTCCCTCCTGCAGACTGCTGCCGCTGCCGCTGAGCACCGCACTGAACTGGGCCACCGGTTGAACTGCGTCACCGTTAAAGGGACAGAAGCCTGCAAGTATGATGTCAGCACCGGCGAACAGCGCCCCCTACAGGCATAGTACATGCCTGCACACACAAGACTCTGAGATAATGATGATGATAATAAATGTGTGGGTACACCCTGGACACGAATACAAAATATTAAATTAAATCAATATAATTAATATATACTTAGTAATTCTCTCACAGTCTTTTGTGCTCATCCTTAAAAAGTTCACTTCAGACATCGATGATGTGTCCTGACATGATTTGTCAACTGACTTTAGAAATGACATAATAACAAATAAATAAAAATATCATAAATGATCTTTTTTAAGAATTATTCTGGCAAAAACAAAGAAAGGTCTCCTTGCTTGTGTTGTTTGACTTTCTGCCACATGGGGGCACTGTTTGATTGGACTCTGGACTCCAGGTGCATTAAAACTGCTTCCTGCAGATTTCATTGAAAGTTGAATAGTTGTGAATATGTCACATTAAAGCTGATCTGGTATCTGACTCTGAGGCCTCATCTTGAACAGGTTCGTTATTTCTCCTCATGAACTTTGTTGATTATCACAAAGTGAACCTGGAGACAGGTGAGGTCCCAGCGTAGAGACACCGAGCTGCTGTCATTGAGCCTCTGTCAGGAGGTCAAGAGGTTTCGTTTCCCCCTGGAAAGATTATTGCAGTTTTACTTATTGTGCACAAACTCTCCAAAGAAAACTTCTGTCTATGACTCAACACACACGTTTACATGAAACCAAATAAAGACAAGTAGAGTATTCTGACCTTAGTCCCGTTCTGTTGACGTGGATACATAAGTTCATCGTATGTTGATGTCCAATCGGAGATTTCTCAGCATTTTGTGACAACGACATGTCAACAGCTTGACGTCACACACGAGTGTATATGTGTGTGTATTTGTATTTATAACTTAACTCCATGTTTCCTGGTTGTGATTGATTATCTATAAGATGTACTGATTTAATAACAAAATGAATAAATAATGTTTATTTGACTCATACTCAGACTGAGCTGTGTAACATGGCAGCAGGAATATTAAAGTAACAGTCATGTATTCTTTATTAACAACTCACGTCATGTAATTGGAGCGATATCTCACGGAGAATAAGAACAATAGTCAGATTGTTGGTGTTTTCCTCGCCGACACTGGGGATGAACATCGGTTGTGTTTGACGGTGTCGATGATGTGAGTGTGTGACTCAGACTCAGTGACTCACCAGCCAGTAAACAACAGAGATTATAGCCGGTGCTGTGGCTGCTGATGTTCAGCCCACTCCTTTGTTCACAGCGGATCAGACAGTTCGGCCCGTTATACAGAACCGTATGTGGCTCGTGTGGGTGGGGGTGGGGTCATTAAAAGGTTAATTACAGTTTTCATCGAAGAAAATGTGTGTGTTCATTATTTTAGTTTATTGTTTCATCGTCCAGAACAGGGCCGGGTCTAGACAGGCATGTATGAGGGGGCAGCCACAAATCTTGAGGGGGCATTGTGCGAAACATGACATGAGAAACAACTTGATATATTTTATATTTGAGGGGGCAAGCAAGACATTAAGACATTAAGAAGTGGAGCGGAGGAGAGAAGCATGAGATAATAAAAAATATATGAAATTTAATATATTTTGGGGGATTTAGTTTGAGGGGGCACAACATTTATTTGAGGGGGCCAGGCCCCCTCTTGCCCCTGCCTAGACCCGGCCCTGGTCCAGAAGCAGAGACGAGCCCACAGTGTTTACTCTGAAACAGTTCATGTGATGCTACAGTGATTGCATGAGATGATTTCTCTGTGTGGACCGTGAAGCTGCAGCGTGGAAACAACCACCTCGACCAGCAGGTCTGGTTCATCACACTGGCTCCTGGTTGCTATGCTACTGAAGATGCATCCATGAACTGACGAACGACGGGGATAATACAAATACTAGAGTAATGATACTCTCCGTTGTTTTGCTGTTACTGTTGAAACACACGTGGTCTCTGGGAGAACAAGTATTGATCAAACCTCCGATTGTTTCAGCCGAGCAACTTCCCAACACTGCAACCATCCACGCAACAGTGGCCACGATGACACGTTTGGCCGTAGATACCTCACAGGTTGCTCTCCACCTCCCTCCCTCCCTCCCTCTCGCTGCAGCTGACACGTGCACACACCAAGATTTTTCATCTACTTTCCCTCAAGCAAATGTCACAGACAATTTCCTGGGGGGGGGGGCAGCACATGCACGAGTTAACACTGAAGAGAGAGAGAGAGAGAGAGAGAGAACGAGGAAGGCAAAAAGAAAGCACCATCAATTGGTGTAGCATGATATCACCTGACCAGACGCTGCAAGAACAAGCAGCTTTCTCTACCTCCAGCCGAGGAGAGCGGGCCGGCAGGTTCTGTATTCACAGTGTGAAGCCTCCAGATCAGCCTCCTCAGCCGGTGAATTAAATACAGTGGTGCAGCGTGTGCAGGACTGTTTATCTGCAACCAGCTGTGACGGCCTTTACGTGCACGGAAGCTCGGAACGGAACACGTCACTGCAGAGAGAACGAGTCGAGCCGCAGGGACGACGGTAACCCAGCCGGAGAGATGATGCAGGGAGGACTGTGTGTTTATCTCTGCCTCAAGGTGACAGGTGTAAAATCATGCACGGAAATCTGGTTCAAAACAATACTTCATTAGGAGACGTTTAGAAGACAGAGCTCGTCTCTGAGTGTGACTCATCTGCAGTGAGTGTGTGTGTGTGGTCCAGGTATCCCTCATGTTGTGGGGACATGTCCACAGTCACATTACGTGGACACATTTTACAGTGTAGACATGTTTTAAGGTTAGTTTTAGTTTTAAGGTTTAGGTTTAGGCAAGTAGTAACTATGGTTAAGGTTAAAGCCTAGTTTATGCTTCTGCCTAGAGTCTCAATGAAAGCAATATAATATTATAAGAGTGTGTGTGTGTGTGTGTGTGTGTGTGAGACGACCTCACCCCAGTGAACAATAACACCCTCCACCACCATCACATTCACATTTCACATACACTCCAGCATCTCATCCCGTTGTCATGGCGCTGACTAAACTACCGACTCCGCCTCAGAACATCTTACAGAGACGAACATGTTCCTGTGACACAAACATTCAAAGAGAAAAGCAACGTGTTTATTAGAACATCACCGTTTACATGGAGACATGAATACATTCTGTTTAACCATATGTGTTTTCTTTTTTCTTTTTACAAAACACAGAATGAGACATGTTTCATTAACAAAGACTTTGGTTTAAATGTGAATTATGTTCTTCAGCTCTTCTGCAGTTTGAGACTGAACCACATCCAGACGTCCCTCAGGTACGAGCTGAATAAATGACGTCTGGTGTGAAAATGTTAAATGAATCTAATAAAGTACAACACTCAATTAGAGAAGTCCTTAATCGAAGAAAAACATTTCAAATTCATTCGAGAAATCCTCAAACATTTTGATCTGTGGCAGTTTTCTGGTTTATTTTCTAAAACTGAATTTTACTTCTAAAGATGCCACTTTGGACTTAATTAATAAAACAACATCAAATGAAAAATAAGGACAATAAACACATAAACACACCAGTTAAACCTTATTAATGTCCTTGTAATGCTCGTCTCCTACAGACAGTGGCAGAGGACGCTAACAAGTGTAGTCTGTTCCCTAATGGACGTCTTTATCTTTACATGATAAATGGATCATTACACTGTCAGAGAATCCGTAACAATAATATCTAATGAACCTGATTGGACAGAATCCATCAGTTTACCCATTAGCTGGTCATCGCTCCACTGCAGGACACACACACGCGCACACGCACACACACACACGCGCACACACAGTGTTTTCACAGTAGCAAATCACATTTAGTAGTACAATACATCATGTGCATACGTGAGGATTGATGCAGGTAATCTGTGTTAATGGGGCAGACGGACACGGCTCACGTGTGCAGGTAGAGTCCTGTGTTTTCACCGTGTTACATGACGGAGCAGGTGAAGCCGCAGCAGTCCTTCAGCAGCGTGAGTCCAGTTTTAGTGATGAACGGAGACGACGTCTGCTGAGATTTGGACGCCACCGTTTGATCCGGCAGGGACCCTGATTGAAAACGTGGAAACATGAAGATTAATAAACTTCTGGAAAACATTTGCGTTCTCTGGAACATGGTGCTCTGGATAATTGATGTGCACCTTCACCTTTTGCAGCCAAAGCTTTGGGGAATTTGGACTGTAAGAAAGCCGCCATTTCTCTGTCTTCCTCTCTCTCCCTGTGGAGGAAAACACATCCTCGTTTTCTTTTTCAGATTTTATCACGTGCTGCTGAATGTCACTGCGAGACCACACTTTAATTGGAGACTCTAATCTGCATGGTGTGATTTCACTGCGTCAGTCACACACAGCTGTATCCTCTCTCTCCTGAAGGCTCTCTGGCAAAATGTATTTCTCAGACTTCATTAAACCGAACTACGTCACCGTCATTCTCCGTCAGTGGATTCTTTTTTTAAACCGCACCTCAGTCGCTCAAACTCCACATCGTCCACGAGGAAGTCTCTGGTCTCCACCAGCTTGTTGATCTGCAGCAGCAGCTCCTCCTCCCGCTCCCTGTCCTCCTTGGACTTGTCTTTGTCTGTTCAACACACACACACACACTAATGTAGAAATGGACAAATCCAACCAATCACACTGCTTGTTGTTGACAACATCACATTTTGAAGGAGCAGAAGAACTTCCTCCTCTATCGACTTGATTTATTCAATATATTTGCATTCAACTGTTGCTCACAGTTATTTGTTTTATTAAAAAGACTTAAAACTCAGATTAAGCGACAGCAACTTTTTTTTCCTCCGATGCTTAAATAGTATCTTCTGAATTCTGCGGTGCTTAATGTGACTTGTCAGACAACAGTGACTAGATAAAGTCCGATTCGTCTTCTGGAGCTGTGGATGTGAGTCCCGATGAACTGATTCTGTGTAAATCACGTTACGGTTTTATCATCTCCCTGTAAATGTAACTGTATTATTTTATATCTCAGCTTCTTATCTTCCTAGTTGCCACAGCAACGTTCCTCCACACGAGAGCTGTCATCTAAACTTAATGAGCGGAGGGATGTGAGTATTAGTCTGAAGAAGAAGCAGCATCATCTAACAGAGGCTCATTATTATATGAAGTCTGAGTCTTAAATACTGCGACTGCTTTTTTTAAAATTCACCTGGAACTGAGACCAGTTTTTGCAGCTCCGTCTTCAGCCTTGTGATTTCTTTGCAGAGCTGGATGTCGTCCATCCTGAGAGCAAAACAAAAACCGTGAATACATAATTGACCTTGTTTTCACAGAGGAACAATCCCTGGAAACAAAAGGACAGAAAAAAAAAATGTGATCATTAGAAAAACATCCACTGACTGATTACATCTTGTTTTGCCGTCGACAGGTTTTTGAAAACACAGACTGGAAGTTTGTTCCATTGCAGCAAAGCAATTTCCTCCTGGATCCATCACACAGAGGCGTGAATGAGAAATTGTTTGAGTTTGATCAGACTGAAAAACACCGGGGTGAGATTTTATCAGCAGGCGGCAGCGAAGTCCGTGAGTTTATTGGCTGAAATAACACCTGACGGAATCAAATCTCATTTCACCGTCTGATACAACAGCAGCCGCTCATACGAGTGTGTGTGTGTGTGTGTGAAAAGGAAAATGACTGTGATGGAAATACTGAGCTGTTAGTTTAATAAAATAGGTTCGACTTCAGCCACAACAAGGAGGAGATGTTGTTTTCAGCCCTTTGTTTTTTGTGAGACAGGATGAGACGCAGGTCAAGAAAGATTTCAAGATATTTGTCTCGACAGTATCAACGTGAAGTGAGGACGACCTGCAGCGAAGGGCCGCATCAGAACCGAACCTGCCGGAGGACTCAACATCGGTACGATCCAATACATGGATCTTGATTACAAAAAAAAACCAGGGGACTGATATTTGCGAACAATCTGGTGCCGATCCAGATTTTCATTTGGAACTTAGACGTGTTTTTAACACGATAACAGCTGGAAACCTGTAACTACCTCCAGCGTGCAGCTGAGATCACGAGGATTCAGAAGTTTATATTATTTTCTAACTGGTTTAAATTTAAAGAAGAAGGTTCTTGGTTTGATCGGTTCTGGGGTTTTCTCCAGCTTCCTCCCACAGCCCAGACACACGCAGACTGTGATGCAGTTAATTGGAGAATCTAAATTGAGTGTAGGTTTGAAGTGTGAGTGGTTATTTGCCCAAAGTCCTCTGGGATTGGCTCCGGCTCCCGTGACCCTGAGAGATTTAGATATCGGATGATAGAATTCTGTTGTTTTGCTGAATCTTCCCACAGGTTGCGTTGGTGCTGCAGTTAATTTAATAGACATCAACACACGGAGCCCTCAGACTATTATTGGCACTGTGCATCACTTTGTGAATCGTGTGACACGAAGCCGTCTGATACGTGTCACAAATAAGAGCCCGAGCAGAAGTCATCATTATCTGCATCTGTGACTCATGGTGTGAAAACATTAATCAGAGCTGATCACTGCTTTTACTCCCTGTGCTCCCGTCTCCAGCCTTGTGTGGCAAAATAATGAGGAAGGTCTCCACAGAAAAAGTGAAATAATTAAAAAGCAAGGATGAGAGAGAGCAGAGAGACGTGGTGTGTGTGTGTGTGTGTGTGTGTGTGTGTGTGTGTGTGTGTGTGTGTGTGTGTG